GTAAATCGTTCGTCGTCGCCTACTCTGAGTAGGGGAATGGAGCAGCCCCGACAGGATTGGCTAAAGACTAAGGGCCTCCCCGACTAACGAGGCTGCTGAGGGCGAAACACGTGTAACGGTATCGGGCTATGCAAGGGCCCATAACGGACCACATGACATGTTGGCTGGCTCAAATAATAATTATCACAAATAGCCAATGATGTTAAGTGACGTACAAAACTTTTACGGCACGCGATACTCGAACCCGCACTTCACCCGATCCGGGGGTGCGTGCTCTAAGCCGTTGCACTACTAGCGCTTGATCTGCTCCTAATTTGTTCTAACAAGACAAAGACAACAACTGTAATACAGCTGAGAGTAGGGCAAGAGGGCCTCCGGAAAGCGCAGTCGCTGATTCATGGCTCACCTCCGGATTGTTACGGATTTTATTTATATGTCAGTAACCTTGTGATTGTGTTTCGCATCATATCTTTTCATGTAAAAAGAAAAATTAATGGGCCATTATATGTTAGCCAAGACTTTCGTAATTCGTTGAAGTGTTTCGTAATATACCTTTCGTTTCGAGTGTTTTCTTACAACGACGCACAACTTTCGATATGCCTGGTAATGATTTTTGAGCCATGCATGTGGTCTGTTATATAGAGGCTGACTTATAGAGCCCGATACACGTGTTTCAACCTTAACGATCTCATCAGTCGGGCGGTACCCTTCGTCTTTAGTCAATCCCTCGGAGTAACCCAGTCCCTAAAGAGAGTTAGCGACGGCGAACGTTTTACACGTGCCAATGAGTGAAAACATCACTATATGACAGTGTTTTACACTCGACTGCTTTTGGCTAGCATCGTGGAATATATCATACCCTTCGTTCTTGACACGTTAACAACGACGTCGAGATCCTGCGCGGCACGCGGCGCCGTCGCGCGGCGAGCGCAGCGGCTACAATGACATTGTGGTAGTTTTCTAATGAAAAATGGATTTTTGTCGTCACTAATGGGGATTTCGTGGACAGTAAAGGGTAAAATGTGGTAGAAGAGACATCGATAAAGCTATTTGTAGCAGAAACAATGGGATGCGTCTTCCTAAAACCGCGGATTTTAAGAAAAAATCCACACAGATACAAAAATGTGAACTCTGCTTGCAAAACGTTATCTTTATTCGTCAACGTACTAGAAAAGCCGTTCCATAAAGCAAACTTACTGGGAGAATAGGCATTTCTCAAGCTGTCGAATGACTACAAAAACATGAATGAAAAAGAATGAAACAAAGTAATTTAACACTTGGAAATATGTTCCCTTCCACTACAATTTGCCTTTACCCGTTGAAACATAGATGATTTTTTGATGCTTGAGCATTTTTATGGAAGTCACTTCTACTATATTTGATCATTTAATCACGATAATATCCCCTCAGTACCTCAGAGTACCAAACAAGTTCGCATATTTCCATTCGAAGGCGTGATAAAAAGACTCCCGTCGCGCGGCGCCGCCGCACACGCGGCGTGCGGTGTGATCTATTAACAGCTCAGATCGTTGTCAACGTGTTAAGAAAAAACTTTGAAACAAAAGGCATGCCTAAGAGAATTGAGTGGTGAACAAAAACACGGCCTCAGGCGGGAATCGAACCCACGTTTCATCCTATCTGGGGACGCGTGCTCTACCACTACACCACCGAGGCACATTTGCCCGACCACTCATTCTCCAACATCTCAACGTTGGCTATCGGCCAGCAACCTTTTACAGGTTTGGTCGGGTATGCGATTTCGCTTTATAAACCCAGTTGAGCTGACAGCTATTTTAATTACAAATACTTAAAATTGAGATGTTGAAGAATGAGTGGTCGGGCAAATGTGCCTCGGTGGTGTAGTGGTAGAGCACGCGTCCAAGGATAGGATGAAACGCGGGTTCGATTCCCGCCTGAGGCCGCAATTTTGCTCATCACTCAATTCTCTTAGGTATGTAGAAAAAATCATAACACTGCGAAATGCATTGAAAATACTATTAATTACAAAAGGTATGATTTATACAAAGCGACTAGCCAAGAGCAGTCGAGTGTAAAGTACTGCCACTCAGTGATATTTTCAGTTAATGGCACGTGTAAATTGTTTGTCGTCGTCCAACTCTTTACATAGATTGAGTTTCTCCAAGAGGGATTGGCTAAAGACGAAGAATACCGCCCGATCGACGAGATTGTCAAGGCCGAAACACGTGTATCCAGCTCTACAAATTGCCCTATAACAATCCATATGCATGGCTCAAAAATGATGCGTATCAGCCCTCTCTCTCACTCTCCTCTCCTCTCTCTCTTTTTCTCTCTTTCTCTCTCTAGCTGATGAACGACGACGACGAGGACCAATGAATGTCACGCTCCAAGTCCCTCTCTGGAGCGCTCGGCGGTCACAAATCGCGTGCGACGACGACGATCGGCAGTGGCGGCGGCCCACATTTCGTTCGTTCGTTCGTTCTTTCGTCCGTATCGAATTCTGGTGACTGGTCTATACTCGGTACTGGATGCTCTTTCTCTTCAGGATCTCTCGAAATCGTCTAGATCATCTTTTTTCTTCAAACTTTTACTCAGTTCAAAAGCGACGTCTCGCTTGATCGCGTCTTCAAATCGAAACCGATGGATATATGCTTGGCGGAAAAAAATCATCTGGTTGGAGCTGATCAATGTAATCAATTCATAGCAGTTTTTTTTGGCGTCTATTTCGTTTTGGCAACATTTTGAAAACAGTCTATACTCTTTGACCTCAATATGATAGATCAATATGTATTTTTTCCATTGAGAAACGAATAGATGGTCGATGGAAAAATTCTGTTCAGCTCTAGTAAAAAACTCTAGTTAGATGCGTATTTTTTCCATTAAGCTCTCATGTTAGATTTTCAGTGGAAAGAGCACGTATAGAAATTGGGTTTCTGTCCGATTGCAAGAGAACAAATGAAAAAACCGACGTCATTCGCTGAAGAAGAACTTTTCACAGGAGTGCTAGTGACTATTCGAAGGCTGAGACTTGAGGCTACACCCGCACAAGGCCGGTTCTTCAAGCACAATTTTGGAACGCTGTGAAATCCACACAAAACCACGTCTCAGACGCCCCGATTTTCCGCCGGGCAGAGCTCTTTCTTTGAACTATTGGTAATCATGCCATACCGTAATCTTTTCTGCTCCCAGCGCTGGGCTTTTATCCTGAAAAGATCGTTTCTCTGCAGCGCAGCAGGTGATTGAATTGAAGCGATTCGGCTATCGAATGATCACTAATAGTCCAAAGAAAGAGCTCTGTCCAGCGAGAAATATGCGCGTCTGAAACGCAAGAATTCTCCTCCGGTACCGACGTCAAAGAAGTCTTTTTCGAAGATCGGCGACGTGTAGCTGTAGCTTCAAGTCTCAGCTTTCGACTGGTTACTAAAACTCCTATGAAAAGTTCCTCTTGAGCGAATGAGATCGGTCTTTCATTTATTCCCTTGTAATCAGAAAAAAGAGCGCATGTGGCGCAGTGGTTAGAGGTGGCCTGCGTCGCACACGAGGTCAATGGTTCGATCTCGCTCTCATGGCTCACCAAGCCATCCATCCCTCCGGGATCGGTGAATCGGTACCAGACAGGTCTCAGACTTGTCTGGGAGGATAAACAGCACTGACTTTGTTTAGCGGGAGGCCACAGCGAGTCATTGTGAAGGCCAGATATGCATTTCAATCACCTCAAACGAAGTTAAAAATCGAAGTTGAATGCATGGCGCATCCCTCAGGGATTGATCAACGCCGAGAGCTTTATCCTTTTTTTAATCAGAAAAAACCCGAAATTACCTTCATTGGGTGTCCTAAATGTTTTGCTACGTCAACATCGGATCAACAGCTCTTGTCGATCACTGCGGGTTTTTTTTTTCGGGAATTGTTTAGATGAGTAATCATAAAGTTTTCCTTAGCGTCATAATCAGCGAGCAGACATTATTGACCGATTTTCTGCTCTTATGACTAGAGATTCTTAGACAGGTTCTACGAGTGACGTACTAATGCAGTCGCTTCCCTCCGTGACAGGGAATTTCTTCCTCCTTCAAAAACCTGCATTAGTCATCCATTCAGCGATTATCACCGGCCAAAACGTTAGACATCACTAGTGAGTGATTTTGGTGGAAGTTTGTTTTAGCTATTGACTGACTTACTCCTTTTATAATCAATCAATTCAGTCCTCCTCAACTCGGTAATTTCTATGTCGTATCCGAAATGATTAGCAGATCACAGGTGGTATAAATTCTTGCATCGTAGTTTTTAGATTTTCTTCTGTCTTTGCCAATCCTTAAGAGACCGTGGACCCAACCCTCTGCGTGTCTGACCTTCGGAATGTTGCGCCTAGAAATGGCATGTAACAATGGGCCGTCTAACCCCAGCGTGCCATTGTTAGACGCAGCACGCTGGGGATCAGAGACGCTGGGAGTTGTTCCATAGTCCCGTAAAGGCTGAATATGATTTTTTCCATCACTCTGTTGTTCAAGAATTGGTGACTTCGCGAAAATGCATCCTTTAAGAAGTCTTTTGAGAAAAATTCGATATAATAGAGACGGTTTTAGCTTGTGTAGACAGTTCGTGCCGTTTTGGTTTTTTAATATAATTTTTACAACCAAATTGCATGATTTTGGTAATGTTCAATTGCGCATTTTCCTGTGAACATTTTGGTATACAATTTGCTTATACTAGCTGTAAGATGGAGCTTCGCCCTAAGCTCCATTAATCTTGCGCGCCGCTTCATTAGCACTTTCCCCTACACGCCATTTGTGCATGAGTAGTGGGCGAATTCGTTCCCACGACAGCTCCATCTTGGAGCAACTATAGGCAAGTTGTATACCATAATGTTTCACAAGAAAATGCACGATCGAACGGTACCAAAATCATGCAATTTCATCGCAGAAATCGTATCAGAAAACTTAAAACAGCGCGAACTTTTTACACAGCTTAGTATAATCAAGATAAACAATATACCCAAGGATGCAGAGTAGTGCGCAAAAACTTTTTGCGTCAGTTGGGATTCGAACCCACATTTCACCCTATCCGGGAGCGTATGCTAACCGTTGCACTACCGACGAAAAACAATTCTGTTTGATCATTAAAAAGAAATAATTTGATTTACATGAAAGCGTAAAAGTAGTTGCTCTGCTCTTAGCATTTCGTTATTCTACATAGTATGAGTCGTCATCAATCTAAGCACTCCAATCCATTCATTTCGTCTCCTCCCTATCCATCAACCACAAAGTTCTTTGAAGTTTCCATGTGCGGATTCCGCTTTTGTTTGAGGGTTTTTGCCTACTCCAAGAATGTCGCTGAGTGCTGGTCGAGTCGATGCCCTATAGAAAATTGCAAACCGACTTTCGTTTAACCTCGGCGTTACCAATCAATAATTTCTTGCGTGAATTGCTAATACGCAAAATCGATAGATAAGATTTATTTCGATGACGTTCCAACGTCTTCTTTTTCTTCAGAGCCAATGATTCCAATTGACTGTTCATGCCGTTCGTCCTTATTGGTCTTCGTCTTCGTTGTCGTCAAGGCAAATCTTCTGTTGTGGAGCACTGCTCAAATATTCGGCGCCACCTTTCTAAACAGGACGGTTGTTGAAAGAAAAAGTGCTTTTAGTCGCGAGAGCACTTGGCGTTTCCCCCAGGTGGTGGATAGGGGAATTGACCATCTAATGACGGCAGTTGATCGATCGCACAACGAAACTCGTAAGAGACGCACGATCTTCGCTATTCAATTAGGGTCTCTCCTCCATTTGGAAGGTAAAAAACTCTAGGTTTTTTGTGTTATTGTGATACTTCATAATTTTTTTTACATGCTTAGAAGTTTTTCGTGCGTATAACTTATGTATGATAGAAATTCTGGGTACGTAACATAGTGTTCTTTTCGCTCATATAGTGCTATATGATATCTATTCTGTTATCTATCTTGTCTTGTCGTTATCTTGTTATCTTTCAAGAAACCAAGCACAGCATCGTTATCCTCGTGATTTGGGCTATCGATCGACTAATAAGAGTTTGACGAATTGCCACATGAAAGCCAATCTTCTCTGCTATAACATGATGATATTTGGCTTTTCATTTAAGCTTTCGAATGATTACCAAGCGCCTAAGAAAAAATTTTGTCCACGAGAAAAGCCTCTTGATGCAATCTTGTACCTCATATGGTACTCGTTGTCCCTTAGGGGTCAAGGCGAACCGAGAGCGACCCCGTGCTTCCCAAGAAATCAGGTGGATTCAGAAGATGAGCTCCCTGTTTCTGTAACGCCAGTGTTTCCTTCTGGTGTTTTGAACTGAAGTTGTCCTCCATAGCGGTATATTTATGACGGAATTTTAACGTTCTCAAGTTTAGTTGTGGCTTTTAACCTGACGGTGAGTGCCTGCATCTACGATTCAATACTATAGCTGTGATTGACCACCTTTCTACTGTATCACATTTTTACTCAGAAACCAGATTTTTTTTGCATTCTATTGGTGTTTTTATATTTTGTTTGGGAATTCTGTGCATCAAGGTGCATTATATTCCTGTGGATTGCGCTCTGCATTTAGAAGAATGCCTGCTATTTGCTCTGAATGCGTTTCTTTAAAGTTTTGAAAGGTCTTTCTGCCCATTATCTTAGGTGGGGACGACGTTTTAACGTTGGCGAATTTTAGATAGCGCTACAGACACTCCACTATGCGATCGCGCTGTGGTTAGCTTCTGATGAAGTTCGTCTTGGTGAGGAAATTTGTGATGTATGCATCTTGCTGTCGATTATCTCTACATACGATGCCCAAAAGAAGCCATAAAAGGATTAAGGATGAAGCTCTTGACGTTGATCAGCCCCTGAGGAATGCGCCATGCATTCGTCTCCAATTCTTAGCTTCATTTGAGGTGGTTTGATGCATGACAGTCCCTCACAATCACTCCCTGTGGCCTCCCGCTGTATCGAATCAGTGCTGCTTATCTTGAGAGACAAATATGAGATCAGTCTGGTACCAATTTACCGACCTTGGAGGGATGGATGGCTTGGTGAGCCATGGGCTCGAGATCAAACCATCGACCTTGTGTGCGACGCAGAGCACCTCTAGCCGCATGTTTTGCGGCACGTGTTTTCACCAAAACTAACCATACGGGCTTTTAATCTGAAGCCAACGAACAGCTCGTCAGGAATGCGATGGAGTTGAACATTACGTGCGATGCTACTTCGTCGAAACAGAAACGTCTCTGCTCCTCTTTGCTGGCTACGTTCTCTATCGCACACACCCCGAGAGCAATAATCGCTCGCTGCAGAATTCTCTAAGTGGTGTAGAGCATCGAAAAGCCTTTCGCTGGGCCATTCCGTATTCCGAATCTCTGTCGGCAAGCTTTCGGTTTACTTCAGAAAGCGCGACACGAGAGCTCTGTGCGGCGAAAAAGGTGCATATCAGCGTGCTTACAGAAGACGGTAAGTACGAATCGTAACGCGCAGACACGTAGGGAACTGAAAACTATATCACCGATTCTTGTTGCGGGCTGAGTAGAATTTCGACTCACTTCATGAGATTATCACTCAGAGAGCTCATTTCATCTGAACTGAGCCTGAGAATATCACAAATGAGGAAACAAAGATTTTCGAACCATTGCTAGAGCACCTGAGGCTACTTAAGATGATTTGATTATAGCCTCCAATGCGTCTTATCCAAGATTTATAAGAGCTGCTAGCCGGAACGTCGCACAAAATCCGGAAAATCCGCCGTTTGGCCCTATCTTGTGCCATAGCTTTGGAATTCCAGTCTTTTGAAAACAAGTATCTAATTGATTTGCCTGATATTTCATTTGTCTATTCTCTCGATGTTTGATTTTTCGTCATTATTGCGGTTTACACGTGTCGAATCATCACATCATAAATGTGTTCCCTCGTGTATTGATCGGTTCTAAAATCGTTTCGTATGTTTACTGGACATAGTCCGAACGCGACTCGAGTCATCAACATCACTGAAGCTGAGTCAGGTGTGTATTTCAGTATAATACCTTATGGCCGATTGCGCAGGTCCGCTACGACCTGCGGATAGTTGGTCGACAACGGAGGTCCGCTCGGTAACTCATAGGTAAGCACAGGCACTGCTTTATCTCATAAAATCTCGATTATAGTCGGCGAATTGTTGTATGATTTCAGTCATGTGTGGACCATCAAGGGATTCAGCCAATGTGAATGTCGATATCTCGAAACATCGGCGAAGATTCGTGATCTCACAGTAAGCTCTGTTCTGGTCTCACTTCACCCGTCCGCCTTGATTTTTCCTTCTTTAGTTTTTCATTGACTAAGCCTTCTCGCTCCTTCTTGCTGTTATAATGAAACGACAATGACAAATTTGACAGCAATTTTTGGCGCTATCTCTCACAGATTCTGAGAAGACTGAAGTTCATTGAAAAAGCGAAAAAACATGGTAATAGAATTAGATTATAATACAAGAGAAGTTGCTGCTTTTCGTAAATAAGGGGACATTTTTCTGCTTTCTTCTTCAGAAGTTTGCTAAATTGATTTTAACTTATAAAAAGTTGGTTTGTTTACTTTTTTTGACATGCAATTTTGTGGAACTTTTTTTTTGTGGAAACAGTGAGCTTTTATTGTGACAAAATCACCACTGCGGTGATCTTATTTCTATGATTATATTATTCTCAGTAGTTCCTATAGGGATGTTCGAGGATATTAGAGGAGCTTTTCGAAGTGTTACTGTCACTTGAGAGGTTTTTGGAATGTCAATTATGATGTTCCTTCGGGGACTCTTCAAAATCGTTTTAACAAAATGTTTAGAGTACACATTTGGATGTGTTCGTTCTTTCAGTTATGAAGTGTCATCAAGTAACTTTTATCCTGAAGACATCGTTCCATAGTACACACCTCTGAATGATGAGATTCTGTTACGAAGCGGTGTTTGTTTTAGCAAGTCTCTCCTATGTCTATACCGTCATCAACGTCTTCATCGAACGTTTCGACAGCAACGTTAGAACCACCAATGCTCACATTTCGCATTCGATTACATCCTCAGGGAAACAAGGAATCTAATAAGGATTTTAGTTTTTTCCAAGTATGTTATTCTTTTCATACCTCTTGATCTTTTCATCATGGTGATGTCTTCTTTCGAATTTAGTTATTGCCTTCTTTTTCCAAAGGAATTTTGCTTCCCAGATAACTTCCGTTGAGAGGTGATTGCTGTTTGCGCCGATAGAATAAAAACATAGCTGAGAGGAAGGTTCAAAATATTGTGGTGGATGGCTCATGGGCCGCGCGGTAAGGGTAATCGCGGGTTTGAAGTCCAGCTGGGATCTGAGTTTTGCTTGTATTTCATAATAGTACGTGATCAATTTTCAGTTCGTATACTGCCATGAAAACGAATAGGTGGGAAAATGTTGAAATCACTACAATCTTTGTACATGAAACTGCTATAAAGACGTTAAAGAAGAAGAATTCTTGTATTCAACATATATATCGGATATCTGTCAGTACAATTTAGTTCGGTGTCGATATCGATCACCAGACCAAACTTTTGACGGTTGGTCGCTGACAGGTTGATGCGTTGTAGCATAGAAAGAGTGGTGGCAGAACTGACGTCGGTAGTGCATAACGTTAGAGCACGCATTCCCGGATAGGGTGAAATGCGGGTTCGAGTCCCGCCTGACGCAAAAATTTTTTACATCACCCAACATTATTAGGTACAACTTTAAAATGTTGCCATTTCCTATGTATTTTACTGCTTGAATGTCTGTTTAGGATTTCCTGTTCATATTTGAAAAGGTCTTTGTTATTAATATTTCAGTGACATGCGGAAGCGGTGCAGCTCAATGGAGCACATTCCAATTTACACTGTGTTTGCTTGATCAACGAAACTGATTAGCGTTACTAAACTTTTGTAGTCGCCAACCTTGTCGTCTGTATAGTTATTGATCGATGGCTCCATGTTTTTGAGGAATAATTGGTCGAAAGAAATCCCAGATAAAGTGTGCTTTGTCTCGTCTAATACCAAGTTCATGAAAAAAGTAAACAAATGTTCTCAAGAAAATACGCAATCGAGCGACACCAAAGTCATCGATTCATCGTTGGCTCCTTCTT